CCTGATGCAGGACCGGACAAGACCCAGCCAAGACGCGTACGGATGGCTGTCGGACCAGAGGCCGTCGTGATCACCTTGCCCATCATAAATTGCCAGTACTGGTCGGCTCCAATCAATAGATCGATTGTGGCTGTGCCGTCGCAGTCGTCTGCCAGTGTGAGGCCTTGTAGCGCACCGCAGCACTGGACTGCTTGTGCAGGGTGCTGGTTCTGGACTGGTGCACAAATTGATTCAATCACAATACACTCCAGCTGCAGGGGGTCTCCCTCCGTACTCTGTACGGTCAGATTCACCACGTCTCTTAAACCGCTGTCCCCAACAGAGCAATCACCGAAGGCATTGACATTCAAGCCTTCCTGCCTGTCTGTCTTTAGGTCCAGCCGCCTTTGCACATCACGTGTCACGAATGAGCGCTGGCTCCCTCCGTCGAACAACAACCTCACAGGGATCCCGTTGTCTCGGACTGGTAAGCCTGGTGCAACTATAGCTTTAGCGGTCTGCAGCAAAACCATATTGTTGTCTTTGCTAGATGACGTCAGAGCACTGACAGACGACAGGGTAACGCTGCTGGCGGATGGATTGGTAGGTTCCTTCTTGCTTGGAGCTGATGCTGCCCTAGACTGGTTGCTAGCGGCCGGCTTCTTTTCATAGCGCGACGTGGGTGGTGTTACAGGTGATGGCCTGTCAGATGTTGAGTCACACAGGGTAGTGTGGTGTCGACGTTGGCACTTGGCGCATTTCAACTTCGACTGACAGTGACGGATTATGTGGTTCGGTTTCAGACACAGAAAGCACCTTCCGTTGCTCTTAACTATGTCCTTCCGCTTCTCTGTGTTTGTAACGACAGAGCACCTGGCCGTCTCATGACTCTGTCCACAGAACACGCAACTGGCACTTGCCGGGGACGTAAAGGCTGCTAATGCAGCTGCTGTTGGCTGTTCTCTGTAGGTCTGTTTGTTGCGTGTACTGGTCCCCTCAGGCTGTGTGGTGATGCCTATGAGTGTCTCCTGTGCTGTTGTTCTGTAGTCCGCTTCTCTTAATGCCCAGGCCAGCAGAGTGCATACCGTCTCCGCTTCACCTCTCTCTGTCATCTGGCGGTAGTACTGCGTCAAGAGAGACTGTGGCAGTTTCTTCAGGAGCTGCTGATAGAATGCATCAGCCTGAAGTTCCTGGCTGCGTCCGGCGTCTTCTAGGTGAATGACAGCTACTTGGAGAAGATCAGCGAACTTCTCCAGATCCTGGGCAGCTCGTTCCATTCGTATCACTGGTAGCCGCGCCAGCGCCTCTGTATGCACTGCTGTCTGTCTTCTATCGCCACCAAACTTCTGTTCTAGACGCCTGATTGCTGCGGTGTACGCTGCTGCTGAGTATCCATAAGATTCTATCGCTTTCAATGCTGAGCCCATCAAACACTGACGTAGTTGCAATAATTTCAGCTCTGGCGATAAATCTTGCTGCTCTACGCAAACCGAGAATGCTGCTTTCCATGTTCTGTATGCTGTTTTATCGCCACTAAACGTAGGTATCTTCACTTTCTTCAGGTGTCGGTACACGTCTGTTGGTGCTGCTGTTGACGATGTTGAGCTGGCTGTCATTCCAGACCAACTGGTCTGCACGGGTTGCTGCTGCTGGTATTGTTGCTGTTGACGCTGCTGCTGCTGTTGCTGTTGCTGTAGTTGTTGCCGCTGCTGCTGCTGTTGTTGTTGCTGTAGTTGTTGCCGCTGCTGCTGCTGTTGTTGTAGCCCAGACAACGGCTGTGGCCTGGGCCTCGGTAGCGGCGTGGAAAACCGCTGCGGCGGTAGCATGCGTGATAACGGCTGCGGCATAGACGACGGCTGCAACGTAGACAAAGGCTGCGATGACTTCGGCACATAGACCGACTGGGACGCGTACAACGGCGGCAACGAGTGCTGCGACACAGGCAACGGCAAAGACTGATCTGCCGACAATGGCGGCAACGACTGCTGCGACATGGGCAGCGACTGCTGCGATACAGGCATTGACTGCTGCAACACGGGCAGCGACTGCTGCAACACGGGCAGCGACTGCTGCGCTACAGGCAGCGACTGCTGCAATACGGGCAGCGACTGCTGCGACACCGGCAACGGCAAAGACTGATCTGACGACAATGGCGGCAACGACTGCTGCGACACGGGCAGCCACTGCTGCGATACAGGCAGCGACTGCTGCAACACGCGCAGCGCCTGCTGCGATACAGGCAGCGACTGCTGCAACACGGGCAGCGACTGCTGCGACACGGGCAACGGCAAAGACTGATCTGCATACAACGGCGGCAACGACTGCTGCGACACGGGCAGCGACTGCTGCGATACAGGCAGCGACTGCTGCAACACGGGCAGCGTCTGCTGCGACACGGGCAACGGCAAAGACTGATCTGCATACAACGGCGGCAACGACTGCTGCGACACAGGCAACGGCAAAGACTGAGACGCAGACAACGGCGGCAACGACTGCAGCGACACGGGCAGCGACTGCTGCGACACAGGCAGCGACAAGTACTGATACGCAGACAACGGTTGTGACATACATGAAGGCAAGGGCTGCGACAAAGACTGCGACACATACAAAGGCTGTGTGTGTGTGTACTGCATGCGTGTGCGCTGTGATTGCATCCTAGACACAGGTTGCGATGCAGTCTCTGGGGTCTGTTTGCCAGGTTGCCACAATGTGTCCATGGAGTTGTTGGTGTGGGCCAATGGTGCTGTCCCAGTGTTGAACTGCTGTGCATTCTCAATCATATACTCAGTGCTTTCTGGAACAATCACTGGCGTAGCAATGTCTGGCACGAAAGCGTTCGCCCACGTTGTATCACTATTTGCAGTTGCACTTTCTACGTCGTTTGGATACTCTTGCCGATCCTTCGTATCTGCCTTTTGATGATGACCATAGCCTTGTAAAGCCGTCTGATCACCAGCGGGTTCGCATAACGGCGCACTCTCGCCCGTTTCGGGAACCTGTGCGTCTGCCTGTGCACGACTCGTGCTGTCTGTTTGCTGCATATGGCCGCTCAGGACAAGGCCTGCAGCTCCTGGTGCGTGATCCGTGTCCTTATCTAGACTCGCTAAGTATGCTTTCACCTTATCGGCATTCCGGGTGTACTGTACACCACTTATAGAGCTCGCACGTGAACTGTTGTAGTTTGAACAAATTCCGTACATGTACTCGCTAACCATAGCCACTGTGTTTGCATACATTTCTTGTGTTGCTACATACTCCTCGAACAACTCTGGATCCTCCCGCAATGTACTAAGCAAGCAATGTACTTTTAGGTCCAGCTCCACGAGTGACAGTTTGACAGCACTTACAGGTGATCCATTTTCGATTTCGTTCAGAACCGCGATTCTGGCTTTGGCGAAGGCGACACTCTGGTCAGCCTTTCTCGACCTCGCATCCATTGAATCCGGCTCGAAGGACCAATTTTAGAGATCCTACTCTGGTTCTGCCCGTACTAGTAGTAGTAGAATCCTAAAGGACGTTTTGGCTCTTCGTTGAGCTCATTTAGTTATTACACACAGACACTCAGTGTCTTTCCACTCGGAAATAATTCTCCTCATACTTCAGTAAGAATCATTATCATTAGTATCAGAGATACTCAAACTCGTGACTGTCCTCCAAGTAGTTATGATGAGGAAGCGTCTACATCACGACGGCTGGGGTAGATATTCCCACCAGCCGTACGCGACGCAGAAAATGCTAGTGTCAGGATAAGGACATCGTGGAGGCGAATAGAGACATACCGTAGAAGTCTCCGGTAAACGAAAGCAATACGACAGGAAAAGAAGAAGACTGTATAACCATAAACGGGACAAGTCATGGCAGTAAGTATAGAACTAGAAAACGAATGGGAACAGGGTTGACTTGACATAGAACGTACATGTAACAATAAATCGTAATGTTGTCCGACGGTAACACACAGTAGCCATAAATACAAGAGATGCATGCAGCCGTCAAATCAAGAGTCAATGTACAGAGTGAAGACGCATGCAATATCTAACACCAAGCTTTAGTTTGTGGCCTTCCGCTTCGTTGCACTTGCAGCTAAGGTTGACGTTTTGATCAGAGTTTAAGGCAGACCCTTCAGCATTCAACAATACGCTGAACAAGACGCGCGTTCAAATTCAGGTCAAGAAACTTCGTTTTCAAGCGATCCATGCCTCCAGGTGGCAGGCGATGAAGGCAAGCTAGCATTTTTCAAGTACACTGTAACGACCTTCCAGCGGGATAGGGTGAGCAGTTCCGCACCTTCTTTCCTTGGCAAGCGCTTCACTGATTTTGTTGGTGTTTTCAGACCTGCTACCTTCGCAGCAACATGCGCCACAAGTAGCGCTTTTTAGGAATTTGAGAACACTTTGTTCTTGCCATTGTCAACTTCAGCATTTCGTATTCAGGAGAGATACCAGGATTCTTATACCCGAGCTTGCAGTCTTGATAAATGCCCCCCCCCCCCCCGAACGATGTGGGACGGCACCTACTCCAGAAATACGATATGTACTCTGGGGCGGAATAGTGCGGAGCGCGATGAATTTGCTTGGTGCGGAAGAGAGCTCCGACGAAGTCCGAGACCACAATGGCTTCGGTAACAAGTAGACATTGCGCAGGAAGGGTCGCACCAATGTTCCAACACAGAAAACAGCGATTCCGACAGTCTGACTAAGACGAGCCAAGTCACAAACATTGCGATGTGTGAAGCGACAACTTTAATGACACACAGGAAGTAAACACAAAACATGCGAAAAGGTTTAGCAAGTTGAAGATATTCAAGTACAACAATGTCACCCACACAGCTAATGCCATTATGTTGAAATCAGTACTGTATACGATAATATATTATGCAAACCGGACAGGTACAGTACGCCTGGGTATGATCTGTTGTTGTCAAAGGTAGAAATTACGTAGCCAAATAGCTGCTAGGTATACTATAGTGGTACCGAGATGTTGCTACACTGTATTGTGATGTTTACGGCATGGAATGTACGTACCTGTTGTCAAAATCTTCACCGCCCAAGTGAGTGTCACCAGCCGTGGATTCGACCTCGAAGATGCCATCCTCAATCGTGAGTACAGACACACCGAAGGTTCCGCCGCCAAGATCGAAAACCAGAACGTTGCGCTTACCGCCCTGCTTCTTGTCGAGACCGTACGCAATGGCTGCCGCAGTTGGCTCGTTGATGATACGCAGAACATTGAGGCCGCAGATGGTGCCGGCATCTTTCGTAGCCTGTCGCTGGGAGTCATTGAAAATGGTGGGTACGGTGATCACAGCATTGCTGATACCTTTTCCGAGGTAGGCTTCGGCAGTCTCCTTCATCTTGGTCAGCACCATGGAGGAGATCTAAACAAAACCAAGAAGAAGAGTGAAAACAGTACATACTCAATTCTCTTGCAGAAAAAGGTGCTAATCAATGGGCAAGCTATGCTATAATAGACCATTGAACAAATACAGCAAGTCACCGGCTAAGTTCTTCTGCCTTCCTTCAAATACGCTCGCTATTTTATGTTGTCACTGTCACTGGCCCAGATGGCTACAGGCAGGGTATGCTGTGAAACATATCCCTTAGCTCACCCGCTGACACAAACTGTGACAACGACTGCAGTAACTGTTGTCGACTCGATCGAGCGGACGAAGCCACTAAACGGCGGACAAGCGTCCGGTCCGGGTACAAGGGATTTAAAAATGGCCGCCTCAGCCGGAAAACGTGAGAAAAAAGGCGTGGGGTCCTGGGCCAGAATGCCATTTTAATTCCCGTAGCTATGCAGAAGACGTTACTTCAGTAACGTCTGGCGCTAGCCAGGGTCGACACAGCTTTAATTTGGTGTTTGTTTGTTTGTGTGTTTGTGTCACGCCTGGCGCTGTCCCGTATCTGTCCCGTACCGTACTGTACCATCAAACACAGCTGGCCACATACAGCTGGCCGCACTATTCAAATAGGGCTTTCAAACGCAAGATCATAACGTGAAGCAACTTGGAAGAATGAGTATTAATGCGAGGTGTATGGGGGAATGCATGTAGGGCGATAGTGTGGGTTCGAATCCCAGGTAATGCCTGAAAAATAGGAGAATTGAAAATTTTATAACATCCCTATTCTTTTTTTTGCCGTCATCAAGGCAGTAGATGGTGTCGTATTACCCTCGACCGTACCTGCCCCGTACCTGTCCCGTACCGTACCATACAATCAAAGACGGCTGGCCACAATGCATTTTCAAATAGGGCTTTCAAATACAAGATAATAACGCGAAGCAACTTGGAAGAATTAGTATGTATACGAAGTGTATCGGGGAATGCATGCAGGGCGATAGTGCGGGTTCGAATCCCAGGTTAAATGTCTAAAAACAAAAAGTAGAAATATAAGAATTTATAACAGCCCTATGCTTTTTTTCTCTAGGTCATCAAGGCAAAAAAGCATAGCGTAGGGCCCTGAGCTTCCAAGCTCTCTCGTACAAAATTTACTAATACATATAATATGAAAATAATCTTTAATAGCCGTCCACCTCTCCCCCCTTCCCTCTTGGCCCACACTCAGAGCACCGTTCTATAGTGAGTAAGTTCGTTCTTGGGTAGATGTTCCATATCCTCCAGACAGCTGTTTCGCTCATTAAGAGCTCCTCAGTGGAGGTAGATAACGAATGAATAACATATAAAGGAATGAGTATATTTAAAGGGTAAAGTGGCGAAATTGCGCACTTTCTACATAGAAAAGTGGCATATCCAAAGATGTTGAAGGTGACAAAAGTTCTAAAAGTGATAATTAACGAAACGCACAGTGCTGCTGGAACATGCATACAGTTGGCGCTAGAATTTAGACGTGAAGCAGGCAATCTATTAGAAGTTCGTACTAACTTTGCCACACTTTGGGTAAGCCACTTTTCTATGTAGAAAGTGCACAATTGCGCCACTTTACCCTATAAATATACTCATTCCTTTATCTGCTATTCATTCGTTATCTACCTCCCCTGAGGAGCTCTTAACGAGTGAAACAGCTGTCTGGAGGATATGGAACATCTACCCAAGAACGAACTTCCTCACTATGGAGCGGTGTTGTGAATGTGGGCCAAGAGCGAAGTGTGGACAGGTGGACGGTTAAGATTATTTTCAAATGGCCGAGTTTGTCGCCACTTCTGATTTACATATTATGTATAGTAATACAGTCATAATGACCATTCGAGAGCCCTTCAAAGATCCCGATGGCACTGCTGGCATCACTCACCTCTTCTGGGCAGAATGTCTTCTTCTTCGACTTGTACTCGACCTCAATCTTGGGCTTCGAGCCATCCCTAACCACCTTGAAAGGCCAGTGCTTTCGGTCAGACGTCACAGTTTCGTCGTCGAATCGCCGACCAATCAATCGCTTCGCATCTACAGCGTAGATAGCAGAACAAGTACATTGAACACCCGCAACTAGAAACTTAGTAAGGGGCCGTCCAAGGTTACCAATAGTATTTTCAAAACGAAAAGTTTTCGTTTGGGGGTGGGTGGGTTTGAAGGAGTTTCGGTTTGAAAATAATTATTGAATACAGATGGAGATATTGATGCCCTGTTACTTCTGGTTGTCGAAAATTGACATCAATATTTTATTAGAATTCGTTTTGCCTGCAGAAAAGGTAGGTGGGTGGGTGGGTGGGTGGGTACTGAAAAATACTAAAACTTTTTGTTTTGCAAAACCTATCGGTAACCCCGGTCGGCCGCTAAGGCCACCCAGAATAAATTCGTTGTTTCGGGTCACCCGACCGGCCATCTTTTTTCACCTAACCGCAACATGTTTTTTATTGTGCATGCAAAAGTACCTCACTAAAAAAGAACATGCTCTAATAATGCCAGCGGTGTGTGCGTTCGTGTTGGACGGAACATGACGGGAGGGCCTTTCGCGTTGAAAACTTCCAGACCGTAACTGAAGTGATTTTAGAGCAGATCATTCCTGATCCGCAGATCGCGATAGATTTTCAGCAGTCCAGACATCGACCTCGGAAGCAGCCAAATGACATGATGCAGCGCTTGGTGACAATGTCATCTTCTATTATCTCCGATCCGCAATCGGTCCTGAAACACCATCAGCTCCGCCATTGCGTCGCTCCTTGACAGAAGTTTTGTTGAGAGCTACTCGTCACACTCGTTTGCCAGCAAGGCCAAGATCTGGTCCTGGAGGGGGGGGGGGGGGGAGGACAATGACTGCGCTGGATCCTCTACAGTAAGATTTGATCGACTATGGACAAAAGCTTGGATATTCGCAGTGCTGCCAAACCGTCCGATTTTTCGGACCGTGTTCTTCCGAAAACCGGTCTGAAAAAGGGAATGTCCGAAAAGCAGCCAAAAATGTCAGGGATCAGTACTTTTCTGTGCAGAAGCCCTGTGTTTTCACTTTTCAGCGCAACTGAAGGCACAACTATCTGTACAATCATGTGCTTCTAAAAAGGCTAGCGCTTGGTTGTGGAAGTGCAAAGATTTCCTGAAAGTTACAACACGCCTGGATGGCATGTACACTGTACAGTGTGTGACCACACTCATGCATTACAAAATTCATGACAACTTCGGGGTGCCATATCGGTTACCATGGCTACGAAGCGATTTTTCATGGTATTTTGGGCAATATTGTGAATTCTCTGGAAAAATAATGCTGACGAGAAATATTCGCACCATGTAGCCAGCATTAACCTCTTTAGCACGCATCACGTAAATGTACGTGATCCTGGATGCTACCGGTCCACGGATCACGTACATATACGTGATACGATCTACATCACGTCGTACAGTTGTTTTGGCTTCCGTGTAGTAGTACCAGGCCTGTACCGTGGTCACGCGGAGCTAGGCCTGTTCAGGAGACGTATCACGACAAGTACACGTGGAGTTCGCCACGTATCACGGCAAGAGTAGGTCGCGCAGTGCGGAAATAAATCAGAAATAAATTTGTTGACAATTTGTTGACATTTTCAACCATGGCACGACGTAGATACAGCGCAGAGGAGATCGACCAAGTTTTAGAGCAGGTCACGCTGAGTTTGGATAGCGATAATGAGCCAACTGTCTCTGATAGCGATTTTTCGTCGGCAGATGAGTCTGTGTCTTCATCTCCTGAACGAAGTGCGTCGCCAGAAATTGGCGATGCTGCTGACGATGTTGAGGGGATGGAGAGCACGGAAGCAGCAGCAACAGGTGGTACGGAGGACACCAGTGCTGGCGACGAGGCCATGTCCTTGAAGTCGCATGTGGAAGCTGTCGAGGTTCTAGCTGCAGGTGACGATGGAAGCGAAGGTGAGTTGGGTGCATTTACAATTTGAAAATTTCACTAATTTTGAATTTTGAAATTTCAAATATTCATGCATTGTTGCATGCTGTTGACTATATTTTTGCAAAGGTGGGCTAACTTAGTGGTATTTTGAATTGCAGATATTTTGTGCCCGTTCTAGCATGTCACTGTTGATGTTATGGACACCAAGTACTGAAGTACAAATAAATATGCAACAGATATGTGAATTGATACTGAAATACACATTTTCTGCACATTGTGACTACATGCATCCAGGCATATGGGTGAAGCAGAGTATTGCACCTACCGCACTGCCATTCACTGGCAACTCCGGTCTCCAAATGCCGCTTCCAGACGATCCAACTCCACTTGACTACCTGAAATTGTTCTTCAACGAAGATTTCTTTGAGTATCTTGTGACGGAAACCAATCGCTATGCACGCGCATTTATCGATGCCAACCTACACACTCTGCCGGCTCGCAGTTTTGCCCGCTCGTGGAAGCCAGTTGTTGTTGGAGAGATGAAAGTCTTCCTGGGACTCTACCTCAACATGGGCATTGTCAACAAGCCGGAGATTGACCAGTACTGGGCAACTGACCCTGTGATAGCCACACCATTCTACAACCGCACAATGAGCCGCGAGCGTTTTACATCAATTCTCAATTTCCTTCACTTTGCCAACAACGATGAAGTTGACGAATCTGACAAATTGACCAAGATCCGGCCCTTGGTGACTTTCCTCCAAAACCGTTTTCAGCAAGTGTATGTGCCGAAGGAGTGGGTGTGCATTGACGAGGAGCTGGTGGCATGGAAGGGCCGTATTTCATTCCGCCAGTACATTCCATCGAAACGAGCACGGTTCGGAATGAAGATATACGCCCTGTGTGAGGACAGCGGTTATCTCCACAATTTTATCATTTACACGGGCAAAGACAACGACACTTTCAGCCCGGACACGGTGAAGAAGCTTGGAGTGCCTGGTGCCGTTGTCGACAAGCTGATGGACCCGCTACTCGGCAAGGGCTACAAGCTCTTCGTCGACAACTGGTACTCCAGCGTGCCACTCGCTACTCACTTGGCTGAGCACAACACCGGCGTCTGCGGCACTGTTCGCAAGAACAGGACTGGCCTTCCAAAGCAGGTGGCAAAGCACAAGGGCCTCCAGAAAGGCCAGTACCTGTATCGCTGTGGCGGTGGCATGATTTTCATCAAGCTACATGACACGAAAGAGGTACATTTCCTCTCCACGCTCCACACAGCCACGGTCAGTGCAACTGGCAAGCGTGATCTCCAGCGCCGGCCGGTACGGAAGCTTGATTTGGTGCAGGATTACAATAAGAAGATGGGTGGTGTGGACAAAAACGACGGGATGATTTCGGTGTACACTGCTGCTCGGAAAACCAGAAAATGGTATAAAAAACTGGCCACGCACCTGATGGAGCAGGCCCTGCTAAACGCATACTATCTGCACAAGATGAAGGTGAAGATGTCGCATTATGACTTCGTGAAGGCAGCCATCAAGAGTTTGATAGCAGAGGGCAAGTTGGAGATCACAGAGCACACCACAGCTGTGGCTGCTGCAGCCGGTACCGCAAAGCCACTCAACACTCACTTTCTACGGCTCATCCCAGCGACTGCCAAGAAGGAGAAGCCGCAGAAGATGTGTGTGTTCTGCTATGCCAACGGGAAACGCCGAGATGTGCGGCAGATGTGTGCTGATTGCCCGAAGAACCCAGGGTATTGCCTTGAGTGCTTCGAGACATCGCACCGAGGAAAGTAGCTGTTCCACAATTGCCGAGTGGTTCCTAAACGCAAATTTGTTCGAGTTTGCGGACATGTAGCGTGTCCTAAACCGATGTAAATATGTACATATAGAGGGTGAACCATGAGTATACATTATATATTTTATCATTCTGACTAGCAGTTGTTGATACCTGTAGCTAGAAGCGATACTGCATGCAGTAAACCCTGTAATAGCTGTCCTACTTTTATAGATGTGCTGGAAATACGTAAATTTGCTGCGCTGATTTGCATTGAAATCTGTGCAATAGGGTATGTTCACACCGACTTTACTGCTGAAATAAGTCATCACAATGATAAATGCACATTGTTAGGTGAAATTCACAAGCTAGAATCGAATTTTAGAAAAAAGTGAAATTTGATGAAAAACGGCCCGCGGGCCAGGTACAAACCCCTGCCGTGCTGAAGAGGTTAAGGACTTGGCGGTGAAGGCCGGGTGTCCGACTTCGGGCGAAAATTATTTGGCAGCACTGTATTCGATATGCACAATACTAGACCAATCCCGGAAAGATTATCTGGGTTCGTGAAAGGGGGCACGCGTGCAAGCCAGCTCGTGCGAAGTACATGTACATCGTTTTGTATTTTAGTTTGTACGTGTACGTGTCAGCTCATGGCGGAGGAGAAAGAGACTTTTGCCCGCAGAGCTGAAGCTAAAGGATTTGATGGCCTCGGAGTCCCACCAGCAGCTAGTCAAAGGACCGCCAGTACCTCAGCCAGGCAGACCCTGACGGAGTTTGGAGGCCAGCTAGCTCTTGGCGAGGAGAGGAACATTTGGGTGGCGATCGACTCTCCGTAAAAAAATACAAGCTACATAGCGCCGACATACCATAACAGCTACGATTTCGACTTACTTCTCGATCGGCTGCTTCACAAAGCTCAACTATTTACAAGTCCTGACTGTTAACCCGACTGCTGCATGGACGATAAGTGCTGCGAATAGTGATCATGCACCCTGGCCTGAGTAGCTCGCTTGGCTAATTGAAAGTCTGCCGACCTGGGCCACATTATGTTGCTAATGCATGCACAACCCCAGTCACAGCGCACAGTTGGTTGAGTTTGGCCGTCAGGAGGCCAGCGCAAGGTATCCGGGCGCGGGTCTGATTCCAGCGAGGGGCAATGTGGTACCCCGCAGCGCGAGGGTAGCGTGATACCCTAAGCCAACGTGCGTGCTGCATGAGTAGCGTGATACTCGCTGAGCGCTTTTGCTGTTGCCTAGCAACGCGTTTCTGTCTTTCCTGGCCCCCCAATGCATGTTGGGTGGCCCTGCGCATGACTGCACGTTGTCATAGCAACCTTGGAAACCTCAAGCCGGTT